AAGTCTTGCTTATATTTAGATTATGCACAGAAATTCTTCTTTAATTTCCTTATCTTAGGTATGTACTAGAGGTGATGCCAATATATATTGCCAGAACTGAAGTGTGCTGCTCCTATGAACACATTGATCTTGCAAACCAGGCTACTAGAGTTGTCTTTCGGTGACCAGAGCGCAATAGAGCTGTAAAGGATGTCAAAGCAATTACAGGGTGTTCCACCAGTAAGGTGCATGGGACAGTAAAATGCTGATGCCGTGATGTGACTGCATCGAAAATAAATCTTTCTGGTGCTAGCATTAGCCAGCGGTTCCCTGTAAGGTGATGAGCAGTTTTGGTAAGACCTGAGCAACCTTTTGGAAGCCAATCAGTATAAAACAGTGTGTTTAATAAGAAAAGACTGATTTTGCTCTATCCTGTGACTGCAGGTTTTTACTTACAGTCTATCGTACAAAGATCGTAAGATTTTGTTATGCAAAGATTGAAAAAAAGGATACATTACTAAGGTTAAGAATTTTTTTGCCAGCTGATTTCAGAATTCGTCCTCAGTGAGGAACATCACTGAAAAAAGTTTTCTTCTGAGGAATTTTTAAGAGTTTACTGGTCTCAAACTCTATTCCACAATTTGATGAGTGATTTGAAAATAAGCATGACGGCTTGGCTGGCCAAATTTGCAGTAGAACAAAGATTGATGGAGTGCTGAGTAATACCGAGGACAGGACAATCATATAGAACACTCTGACCTGCTTGATAAACTGGCCTGATTAACCACAGTTAATTCTAACACAATGAAGTATGAAGTTATGATTTAAGGAATGACAAATATATGTTACAATTTACTCCCCCTTACAAAAGGGAAGACTGTAGTGTGGAAAACAGCAACTCACCAGCTTATGGAAGACAAGCAACTCAGCAGAAGTCTCTAATGGCGACGAGGACAACTGGATTCTGCATACAGAAACTGGAAAGTCGTATATATGTAAGAATATAAGAATACGAAGGCAATGTTCATCTTCGTGTATAGCAGTTTTGGAGTCTGCATTTTATAAAAGCACAAAGAAGAGTTGAAGGGAGTGCAAGAAGAGAGCTACAGCTGGATCTAGCAAATAAAGATTTTTTTACAATGAGAAACTGAAGGGCAGAATCTACTAGTTTGATGAAAAGAAGATTGTGACGTAACATTGGTATATATTATAAAATCGACCCTAATGAAGAAACAATGGTGATGTGATGGCTTTTAAGTTAATAGGAAAAGAATTAATGAGAACTAATATCTGGGCTCTGGCCAAACTAAATGAGACTGGAAACAAAGTGCATACTTATTGCTGGAAAATTATCATCCACTAGAACATACTTCTATGAAACCTGACTTCACCATTCCTGATATCTTTAAAAGAAGAGGGGTCATTTTTCTTCAAGATAGGCTTTGATCAGTCACAGGAGATCAGGATTAACATTTAAGTAGCTGCATGGCAGGTAACAGGCCTGACATCTAACAAGTCAAACAAGATGATCTGGTGGTACTTCTGGCTTTTATAAGCCTGTAGGAAGAGAAAAGATGGATAATCTAGTACAAATACAAAACTGTATTCGTTGTCTTACTTTGTTCTTCCGAAGCCTAATAGGAGCTAATCAGAGTTTAACGATTCAAGAGCTCTGTACAGTGTTATAAAATGGGCTGATTAAAGAAAGTGCAAAATGGTAGGCCCCTTTAGCAAGCAACAATGGGAAATCCATGCCCCAGAAAATTGCCCCTCAACAGTTTGGCTAAAGGCTTGTCATTATGTACCTGCAAAAAAAGATTGAAAGGCAAAGGATCCAAACAAACTAACTATCCCTCCAGGCTTAGCTTTAACCTCTAGAGCTTTGCAGTCCTTCCTCACCTCTCCTGAGGCCAACCAGTCCTATTTGCTGTAGCCTACTGCTGCTCCTTGGCAATCCTCCTGTTTTGGTTTCACACATGAAAGGTGTAAAAAGCCTTCTCCAGGCTTGCTGAATCCTGAGTTAGGCCCAACTGAGCAAAATGATCCCCCAGAAGACATCTAAAATGAGACGTTTTATAAATGACCATAGTCATTTAGAAGAGCCTATCAACTTGGGGGCCATCCTAGAAGAAAAGTCAAGCACAAAACCACGTGGCAGATACCCCAGCTCCTCACTGAAGTGTGAGCAACTGAAGCTGGAGGCACTGGTGATATTCTGAAAGGAAAATACTTCTGACCTGTTTGTAGCCATAAGAACCATCCCTTGAGAGGTTCACACTGACTGTGCAAAGAAAATGAACTGGGCATGAGAAAATCAGTCCAGGCTGACTACAAGAAGACCAACCCTCACAGTTTCATTCTGGAAGGATAAATGCAAAGTGAAGAAGAGCTGACAGCCAGAACCTGTCCATAATCCACAAAAAAAAGTCCTCTGAGAATCTACCCTGGACAAACCATACTGTGAAAGCTGCAACTTTTCAGCAGTACAGAAATAAAAATGTGACTATATCCAGACAGATACCTTGTAGGAACAAGGCAGGCATTTCACAGATGCCCCTCCCAGCCACTGACACTCCTTCTCCCCTAATTTTAAAACAAGGAGCTGCACAGAGCACTTTTGTCCTTGGCTGGTGTGTCATTACAGAAACACTGTGTCCTGCTCCCTCTACCAGGCCCTGGTGATGCTATTTAAAGCTTCAGAGTAACGTAACTCAGCCAAGCACACTGCAGATACCTTTATCTACTCATTTGGAAAGTAGAGAAAAATCCTGCACACAAGCCTTGAAATGTGACTGGAAGCCACAGAGGCCACCCAGCAGCATCCCACTCTGCTACCAAAACCTTACCGTGTAAACCCAATATAGAGGCCTTCCGCAACCTAAAGAATTTTAATATTGAAGTGTAACCACAGCTGGTTTTATAGGTTACAAATTGTAGATGCTGTACCGTTACGTATGTTGAGAAACTCAACACACATTTACATTATTAAGCACTTTAAAAATCAGTCAGAGAAAGGGCAAAATAGAAACCATGGGTTAGGAATGGTTAAGTTATGAGTGGAAAGCAACTAAACACATAATTGACTTTCTTCACTAGTATGTTTATGTATTCAAAATTAGTATGCTTAAAAAATCACTGATAATTCATAATAGGTGGTCTGGAAGAATCAAAATCTTGTATTAGGAATTTGTATTTTAATCTTCCAACCTAATCTTCTTAAATTACTACAGAATAAGATAAAAGAAATGCATGCATATGTTGAGTGGGCTTTACTTATTTTGAGAGATTTGTCACATATTTGGCCATAATATCACCCGTTGGTCCCAATTTTATTCATGTTTTCAATATTACTTTAGCTAATAAAACACAACTATGAAGAATTAGAGAATTTCTACCATCTGTTAGTAACTGAGAAGTGAATGCTTCAGAAGAAACATAAAATAATTAATTTGGTTTGCAAAGTATTAGTGTGTTTTGTGTTAATAATTCAACCTAGAGCACGGGTTACCTACAATGAACTTAATCAAAAAAAGCTTATTTGTGTGTTTGGAAGGAAATACTCTTGCAAACTCATATTGCTATGACTGTATGATCTGAGTTTTCATATTTTAATCTCATGAGGCTATTTCTTTACCAGTTTTTTTTACAAACGAACAAGTAAAGCATCTTAACCCTAGGAAACAAATCAGGCAGTGAGAGGCACTCAAGAGGAGCTGGAGGATCTTTGCTATGGATGAAAGCAAAATGCTCTTCCGTCTCTTTCTTCCTGGGAACCGTGACAGAAGCCTAGATTAGGCCACCTCACCTGATGGCACATTTGGCCCTAATGGGCAAATTATGCCATGTATGTGCATGTCGGTGCTGGGTTTGGTGCAAACAGTCCAAGAGAAACCACAGCTCAGGAGGCACAGATCCTCCTGCAGCAGCTTACCATGCAGAAGGATGTACTCGCTATAGCAAACCTTCTCAGAGCTTCCAGGAGTCTCTATAGGTCTGCACCTTTCTTGTCTTCTTCATAGATAGCACATGGCTCACAGAAACAGTATAGGTAAAATAAATGTTTGCTATCTCAAGAGTGAAAAATTACATTCCTGGAACAGTATATCCTCTTTAGGTTCCCTACTGCAAACCACAAAATCTTCCTTTTTGCACTGAGACCATGTAAAGCCCTTTTCCTCACAGGTGGGTGCCTCCTAATTCTGCAGGTGCTGAGCTCATGCGGGGCCCAGCCAACATTGAGGGCAGGTGGAGCTGATGATTTCAAAGACCTGCACATCCTTGCTCTTGTTTTGAGGCGGATAAAAGCCAGCAGAGTGTTGTTCTGTTCAGTTTGTATTTCTAGTCTCTATGCTACTACTGCCCACACCAGGAGTGGGAAGAGGGACAGGTAGTCAAGAAGCAGGGAGGAAGTGCACAGAGGAGCTTGGTGGCCAAGTAGTGGAGAAATTCTTCAACGATCTTTTTCTTTCTCAGTTGATCTGGTACCTACAGCCTGTGCCTCTTCCACTTCTGCCCAAAGCCACCCTGTGCCCACAGGATGCCATATTACACATGCCTTCCTTTCTCTAAACATTTGCCCACAATGTGCAACAGCCCCAGTCACAAACCTGGCCCACAGGCTGCTGTTTGCCACACCACCATCTCACAAACACAAAGCACAAGTCGTGTTAATAAAATATGCTTTTAATGTGGTCTGCCCTAAACATATTAGACTTAAATATTTCAAGCTCCTTCTCAAGGCAACTAGCACCATGCTCGTGATCATCTCAGAACTTTCTTCCTTATGGCTGCCCGTCCTCTGTGCTGTACAATGCTTTGTACGCTGTTGTAGCTGAACTGCAATGAATTGCTGCAATGAAATTCTTTGGATAAAAAAGTTTCTCTTCAATGTCCTCTTTTTTCATCCGAGACTGCCACTATGTGGGGTTGAGCAGGAATCCTTCAAAGTCTGCTGGCCAATTGTAAGGGAGCTTCAGTCTCTTGGTGGGTTAAGGGATACAAAAGCATCCTCTTGTCTGACATTATTTCCTTTTCTGCCTTTTCCGTGCCACTGCTGTGTGCAAGGCCTTCATAATAAGGTCCTCATTATTCAGGATGTTGTATTCACCCAGCTGAACCAGACGGTCATATACCTTCTCAGTGTATTGGATTGAATATGTTGAATATGGGGAACAGCAGCCATAGAGATCAACTTTGCCGTCTTCCATCTCTGACTCTGAGCGCTTCTGACCTAGGAGGAAGGGGAGACAAATCACTGCTAGAGATGGGAGTTACTCTGGTCGTAAGCAAGCAAACTCTTAACAGAGAAGGGAAAGGAGATGTCTCTCCATAGAGAGTATTCACAATCTAAAATAATGTTGTGGGGTTTTAAAATTATTTTAAACAGACAATTGTCTTCCAAACTGACAACTCAGTCCCTGGCTCAAGTGGATATCAGCCGCTTCATAAGATGAAGGGACAAAAATAGTGACTATTCCTTTTGCATGGGTCTACACTGCAGCTCTGAGCCATGCCTGTGGCTCACATAGGTACATCAAAATTACCTGAAAACTAACTAGCTTGGGGGTTGAAACAGGACTGACATGACAGCAAATCTGACTCGGTAAAACAAGTAACAACAGAGAGGCTTGATGTATTGACATGAGCCAACACTGAAATTTAAGTGTTGAAGTATTAAATATATTCCCCTAAATAGGCTGGCCATAATGTTAACCTTTTTTTTGACATGCTTGGTTACTTACCTGGTGCTTTGTATTTTTGGAAGGTATCATTAATTAGTGGGAAAAATAGCAGTACTGGCGCTCCTGGAGTCTCAGCACCATCAAAGAGGTAACATTCCTTCGGGTTTTTCCTGTCTTCTTCACTCAAGTTCACCCTGGGAAAAAGGATTCCCTGCTCCAAGCAGTACTTGCAGGTCTGGTCCAGAGCCTGGATCAATGAAAAGAACAGTATTAAGACTTAAAGAGGATTTCAGGGCTCAGGATTTCTTGGAGTCCAGTAACAAAGGCAGCATTTTCCAAGCTAGCTGTGTGAAAGCTCTGAATCCCCTAGTGGAAAGCACTGCATCAGTGGAGAAAAGGTTTTGGTTTTCCCTCAGTTCTTAGGACAAAACAGTTGTATCGTACAAGAAAAACAAATGACAATATGTACAGCCTATAAATGAAGTCTCACACTGCAGCATTAAGCTAAAAATGTTAGTGGTTAAGACTTTTAGCAGGAGCAATATAGAGAGCATCGAAGTGTTAAAAAGTTCCAGGTATGCAGCTGTTGAAGAAGAATTAGACACTGCTTCAATTTCTCTCACCTGTATCTGGGATCCTGCACTGTAATTTAAATGCAGGATGACGTCCACCTTTCTCTCCGGTTTCAAAAGTGGCATGATGCTTGTATTGATGAAAAATCCTGTATCTACCAGAGACAGGAATTCCTCTGATGGTGTCAGCTGGTTGGGAAATGTGTCTAACACAGTATCTAAAAGGAAAGATATTTCTTGCTGTAAGTGCAATAGCGCAAAACTGGTTAGACTGTGCCGCACTTACACCATGACCACAGAGCCCTAACTGGTTATCGTCTTTGGCAATGGGAGACTCACCGTATCCCTGCTCTTCTGCCCTCCCAACGCCAGCCACAAGCAGTTTCGGACCTGCAGTGACGACATTCCTGAAGGGAGTTTCTTGTGCCTCCCCACTGAGTGTGTCTTCAAACAGAGAAAGGGTGGACCACCATCAGGACCTGGTGCCTCAAAAGGCGTGTGCCACCAGCAAATCTTTGGCATGGAGCTCAACACCATGCCATCCTACATCCCGGTGTGCAACAACAGATTGTGGTCAAAGATGGCCTCTAACCTTGGAGAATGGGTTTAATACTGAATCTGGGTTTTTGTTTTGTTCTCCTTGTTTATTCTCTCCCAGGCACACAAGTCTTCTCTTACCTTTCCATCTGCAGAAGTGCTTGTTCTCCAGGTAGTCGTTATGCATCTGTAAACCCTTCAGGAAGTTGTGCTCCTGGGCAATGCAGAGGCGGTCGGTGAGGGTGCTGCGAAGGGCGCTGCCGAGGGGGCCGGGAGGGGTGAACAGGCGAGTCCGCAGCTCATGTGGTTTCACTGGTAGTAGAGGTTCCTCCTCTGCATAGAGAAAGGCTGTTAAATTCTACCTGCCTAGAGCAAGGGCATCTTCCAAGATGTCAATGTAAGCAGTAAAAATCAGTGTTCTTTTTATTTAAAAGGTCTAGGACGAAAACACTTGATGAGCACGTGACCAAACGAAAAAGAAAATAAAATGCCACTCTTACCAGCTGCATACCTTTTCCTTACACAGTCCAAACTTGGACTAAAAATCGGACCAGGTATTAAGCAGCAATAAAAATCTGCACTAGACATGACACACGCTTGTAGAACAGACTGAATGCAGGCTTTGGAAAAGGGTAATTGTTGTACTTATTTGTATTACAGTAGTTCCTACTTAATGTAGTCAAAATCTTTTTGCTTTATTAGTCACTTACAGATCAATCTTATTATCCCTGAACATGGCAGGAGGGTTGGAGCTAGATGATCTTTAAGGTCCCTTCCAACCTAAACCATTCTATAATTCTATGATTTTACTCATCTACCAACATCAGTGTTGAGCACTCAGTGACCACATAGATCACAGGACTGGAGATTTTTAAATTATCCACTTATGCTTTGCAGTATGAGACTTTTAATCCAATTCCTTTCAGAAAGGCGATGTGGCCTTTGAAGAAACACTCCACAAAATGCCAAATATATGGTACACATTGCATAGCAGATAGATGTGATGATTTATCTATCTAACATTAACTGTATGTAACAATAAATACACAGCAAGGAAGAACTGTGATAATTTACCTATATTGTCGATTTTGTCCCGGGTCCACCTGTGCCAGAAATCTTCCGATGAATGGGACAAATTCCAGATATATAACACATTCAATGAAAATAAACTACTCCACATGCCTGTAAAAGGAGAGAGCTTTCTAACTCAAACATTCACGCATCATGAGTCTCAAAACTGTTATCATGAGATGAAATTTACAAGGCTTATGCTCTTCTTTAGTTTGTTTTGAATGGATGACGTCATCTTTATTTAGCTTATGGTTTTTAAACCTTATTTCTGTATTCAGTTTTTGTCTTATGGTACTTAGGGCTAGATACATCTTTTAACAACTGGTAAGATTTTTGTGAATTAATACGATTTAAGGAGCTTGGGTTTTCAGAAAAAGAAAAAACAAGTATCACAAGGCTTGTATAAAAAGAAAGGATGAAAGTTTGCAATCTGAGAGATTTGATGGGGAATTATATTGATAAGGATCTAACTACAATGTGATCTTACAGCCTCTGCATTTGTAGACTTCCCTTTTTGAGAAAAAGCCTGTTACCATGCTGAGGTCTCAGTTTTGGCCATGCATTTTTGAGCTTGAGAAACAATTTCTCTGGTTATCCCTTAGGCACAAGTTCTCACTGTTTTTTGGTTCAGGAAGTGCAAACATACGCACGTCCAACATAGGCTTAGGCTAAAGTTGTACAGTGTCTCCATCACTCTAAGCGAAGTGGCTAGTCAAAAAGAAGTTTGCATTTCGAACCAGTCACAAGCTGTCAGCTTGTCTCTTTATTCGGAAAACAGGTATCCACGCTCCACTTCAGTCAATAGCAAAAATGCTTCTGAGTACGACTATGCTGCTATCCCCCCAGGCTTGCCCAGGTAAGGTGGAAACTGGAGCCAGTGATGTATGGCCAAAGTAGAGTCTCTGGAGAAGGGGAGGCCTGGCACACTCAAACACGCTCTGATGCAGTGGAGAATCAGCATACAGGCTCTTGTAAGCTGTCTATAGGAAGTACACTAATTACTGATTACCTGTGAGACAGGCAAGAGGCTCTGGAGGTCACCCTTCTGTAGTAGTATGAGCAGAACCGTGGATTCCCAGGGACCTGAATTTTATTATTGAACTGGAAGCAATACTATATTTTGATTCAAAACTAGCTTTAAAAATAACTATTTGTCTGCCATTTTGAATTTTCATTTATTTTTTTACAGTAAACTGAATCCCTTGTAATAAATATTAATTCACCAATGAGATATTTATCCCCTCTGGTGAAAGAGACCTGTCAGTCATGAATCAGTGCTTTTATTAGTGCTTAGTTTATAGCTCACAATTAAAAAATAAAAATAAACAAATCAGATGTGCTTAAGACAATAGCTTACCTTCTAAGAAGCAGATCCGGGATTCGGGGACCTTCTTCATCAACCGACCCATGAAGAACTCACTGCCAAAATCCTCAGCACGAACAAAAGCTCCATATTTTTGCAATCCCACCTCATAAGGGGTGAACTCCACCCATTCTATGAACAAAGGAGAGAATAATGTTTTACTACAACTCCTTAGCTGTAGATAAAAATGATGTTGCTATCATGGGAATTAAAGGAGTTAAAAATTAAAATAATTTCTGCATTTAAGTCTAATATTTCAGATCACTAGCAATGAGTTATCAGCATGGTACAAATGAAAACTCGCAAAGATGAAAAGTCTTTGAAATATTTGAGTCTGTTGCATAGACAGTCAAACTTTTACCTGACCACAAGGACATTGTACAAATACACATCAGCTGAGGTTCTGGTCTTTAAATGAGAGGGCTTTTTTTGGACTATCTGTAAAGACTGTCCCAGGTTTTACCAGCTTAAATATAAAGACAAATGACTCTCAGAAGTCTCATAATTACCTTTGAAATCCATAGTGCTATAGTTGTTCTTGACATTGACTGCAGTATAGATAGGCAATGGGTTCTGACCACGATCAATGGCCCGTTGCTGATCAGAGAGTCTATGGTTGTCTTTCTGTGATTCCAGAAATATGGTTACACTAAGACGAAAATTAGCATAGGAATGTTTTCTCTGCATCTAAGCTTGTTGGGCAGAAAAATTTCTGCCTCTAATGCATAAAATCTGCTGGGCTTAAATTCTGAAATGTTCTGTGTTTTTCAAAATTCCTGTAACTGTTCTGCTACTGAAATATCTGCAGGCATCCGATTTGATACCAGATTATTTGTTGGCCCATTAGGACAAAACCGGAAAGAAATTATGAAGAACAGAAAGCAATACTTTTGGTATAAAGCAGCTTAATGCATTGTGCTGCAAGTTTATGTAAGACCTCTCACATATCTCAAAAGTCTGCCAAGTCTGTTTGTTAATACCTCTTAGGAGCATTAAGTTAATGTCTGTAATTTTGCTATTTCTAAATAAAATACTTGCAGAACATGCAGAAAAGAAAAAACCTCAAAGTATAACATTTTTTTCAAAATGTTAACCTTGGAGTTTTCTCAGAAAAATATATCCAAAATCTCACAAGTAAGTATACTGATTTCCAGCATGGTTGGATATCTAAAAGACTGCCACCAAATGTTTTGGAAATGGCTGTTACATTTGCATACACATAGTCTCATAACAAACTACCTCTTAGAACAAACAGGAAAATATCTTCTCCAGAAATTACTTTTCAGAAAATTGTACACCACTGTAAATGCTGCTTTATGACATACTGTACCCCATCATGCAACAAAGATTCCAGGACAAGTCCCCAGAGATCTATAAAAGATGTTTTGCGGCCCTCTCTTTTCCGTTGACACAGCTGCTTTTTGTAATATGTCAAATACTCCAAGGAAAGGGAATTTATTTTGCATTTTGTCATATGTTTTCGAGCCTCGCTGATTTGCTTGTTGAGATCCTTTTGTGACCAGTCAGCATCTCTGTACAAGTTTGACATGGTCCTAGGAAAAGGAAATGTATATTGAAGAGGGAAAAAAAACACAAAAGACTTCAAGCAGGCAAAGGCCAAATTTTATGTTTCTATTCTAAGTTCTTAATTTTTTAAATTTCAAATTGCAAAAATTAAGTAAAGGTTTCCTGTCTTCAGTTCCCTATCGCGTTCCCTTTGAAGTCACAGTCATTAACCCGAGCAATTTTCTATAAGCTGTTCTTAGAAAAACACTTGCTTTCTTGCTGTTGCAAATTTTGTGACTTTTCCCCATAAAAAACTTTAATTTGTCAATTTTAGAAGAAGATTAAAAAAACTGGACTGCTGAGAAAGTACTGTAGGAAGACCACTACATGTCAGCCCCAGCCTACTTCAGTGCATTGATGTCATCAGGAAAACTCCAGTCAAGAGCTGCCCAGTCCTACTTACCATGTAGTACCAGACAAGCCAGTCAGATACGTGGCACAGTCCAAGACATTGAGCTTCTTGAGCCCCTGCAGACTGCCGTACAGTGCGGTCAAAGATCTCATCCCTCCTCCCGTAGTCATGATGGCCACCACTGGGGTCTGTGCAACAGACAAACAGGAAGCGCTGGTGTCAGACAGTGGACTGCAGCTGATCATGACTCTCAGCAGAGATCCCCTATTATGTAAAGCCTGACACCACCACACATGCCCAGGCAGACTTCTTTCCGAATGATTTCTACTGAAACATAAGCTACCATTTATTTTATAAAGGAGAACAAGAATAAAAGTAACGAAAATTTTTGCTTAGATAACTGACATTGGTCTATGATGTGTTCAACGCAGATGTTTGGTAAAATACATGTGAAAATGCATTAATTCAAACCAAAAGAGACAGTAAGAGAGAAAACATCAGTTGTAAAGGCAGGAACTAAAAAGCAATCTCACAGGTCGATGAAAGGAAGAAGGATTATCAACAAGGATAACAATGGTAGGGTGAAGACTGTGGAAGAAGCCATTTCTATATAAGAAATATCTAGCCTGGCTTGCAATGAAGGTGTAGCAGGAGAAGAGTTAAACTCAGGATAGAAATTGCAAAGGATACAAATGGCAGGGTGAGATCAGAGGTATGAGGTGGTATTGGATGTGTACATAAGTTTAAAGATACAAAAGTCCAGAAAAAAGTTTAACTGGGAAGAAAAAGAGATCATATTATGCTGTTATGTCCCCACTGCTAAACATTCATTAGATATTTTGAATGTTTGCCCTACAGACCTCATGGTCCAGCAGATCCTGTTCCAGCTGCAGGACCTTCTTCAGAGCAGGAGCGACATACTTCTGCCTTTTGCATAGAAAGTCTTGCTCCTGCATGCAGAGATCAAACCCTAAACGCACATCAAGGTGGTCTGGGCTGAAGCAGAGATCAGGAAAACAGAATATTCCATTTTATTATTGGCAGACAAGCTCAGAGTTTCCAGTACAAGGAAATCAACCAGATCCACAAAGTACCGTGTTTACAGAATAAGCCTTTCCTACACTCCCAAGCAGGTAGACAATGCTGCATGGAAGAAAGACGGAAAGAGGAACTGCTAAATTTCTGAGCAGTTATCAAAAGAAAACCTAAGGAAAGATGTTCTTGCAAATAATTTCCAAGACATCTGCGGTCTAGATTCTCTCATACTCTCAGCCTGCACTGAGAGCTGTAGGAAAAACTTCTCACATTTGTCTTGATGTAGGCAGCAAATTTTACCTACTTCATGATCAACAGTAGCGCTGCACTCTTACACAGTGTTAAAGAAAAAGTTAAAGACTGTGCTGAGCATAACACCGACTAACATAATAGGTCTGTAATACTATTTCTTCTATTTTACGCATCTTTCTCATTATTTATGGCTCAGTATGGATGATCTATATGTATTGTTAATTGTACACATATGGTTTGCTTTCAGTTCAAGTGAATTCTACATCACTTGGTCACACAACCTACTGTCCTCCTGTGCGTGTCTCCTCCCCATAAACAGTAAAGGGTGAGATGAGTTCAGCTAAGGACAAGTTAGCCTCCAAGAGTGGCCAAGTATCTTACCAGTCTTCTGCCTTTGCGTATAAATCAAATCCCTTATCCTGGAAAGCAAGAATGCAAACAGTGTAAGTGTGACAGCCTGTTTTGGTGCTCCTCCCCAGCAGCCCCAGGAAGAATTTTAGCTTGTACTGTCCTAGCAATGCGTGTACAAATCAGGAGCTCTGAATAAACCGGCAGCGGTTGTGAATTGATTGCAGTGGTTTATTGTCAGGGAAGTTGTTCAGTAATTCAGTGTTTTCTAGTGAATGTGGCGTCAGAGGACAACTTCTGTTTACAGAGAAAAGTAATTATAATGTATAACTTACCCGTTTCTACCAACAATACCCTTATCAGGCAGCCAGCCAGGGTGCAGCCACACTACTCTTCTACACAGCAGCATTTGCTCCTCCCTTTCTGTGGCTTATATCCCACAACAGCTGTGATCCTTCCATTCTATATGGATTTTTTTTAACCATGAATCTAAAAGTGCTCTGCTAAGCATGGTCAGCATCAGCAAGAGACTGGCACTACCTCAGGTAGTTCAGATGCCCCACTGGTGCGTGAGGAGGTGAAAAGCAGAGCCTCAAAATTTAACATGAAGTAAGATCAGGATGGAGTAACAAGATCCTCTGGATTCCTACATCCAGTCAAACAGAACAAGGGGCAATCTTGCCTTATCACCTGAAGACCCACCACTGTTAGATTGTGGCATTCTTGTCTGCAGGCTTCCATCATCACAAAGTACCCTGGTAACCATCCGGGGGATGCAGACTTCTATATTCAGGTTTTTCAACCTCTCCCACAAAAGAGCAGGCACTCACCTCTGCTAAGACCACGTTTTTTCCGCTTGGAAGGGAATGAAGTTCCATGTTTGGAGAGCCTGAGTTTGTATCATACACACAGGAGCGCTGAAAAAATACAAATATATCAGAATTTATACTGTAAGGAATATTATTCTCTTTCCACAATGCAAATTAATGTAACTATGGTGCACGTTGCTTCAAATGCCACTATTACGTTTTATAAAGTCCAGCTATAACGTACAAAGGAGGGAGGTGGTTTCCTCCCTGGTAGCGTAACATCCAGTGTTGGCTGCTTGTATCTGGCATAGTGGAATTTGGCAGGAGAGGAGGAGTTGAAGACCAGATCAGATCCCAGCGTAATGTCTTGGGTGCCCTCGTAAGAGCCTTGCACTTTGAAGGAGAATTCTTTCTCTAGGAAGCAAAGCAAAAGCAGACACAGAGCAGTTTTCTCATCAATATTGGAAACAAAAGTTCTTACAGAGTATAATACAAAGCTGTTCTCATGTTTTGGGGTGTTTTTTTTCATTCTTACATCAAGCCTAGTAAGTCAACTGTCTTCATAACATTAGCATGTCATTATTTAAAAACAGCTGATGGAGAAACAACCTCACTTGATAAAGATTTCTTCTGCTTTTTCTTCTTCTTCTTTTCAATCACCTGGACTTCCAAGCAGCAGATTTTGCGAGACTGTAAGAGACATGAACAATAAAATACCTCATGGCAGGAAATTTTCCAGTCTGAGATTCTGTTTCCTAGTCTAAGCTCCTACTGTTGATGATACAAATACTATACAGGCAGTGCACTTTGCCCTGAGGAAAACATTTTCTTTCAACCACAACCTGGATTTCAGATGCTGGCTGGAACAGGAGGACTCTCTGAGAAACCAGAAGTCAGGGCAAGGCTGACAGTGGCAGTGTGGAGGAACAAGGGCTTGCAGGAGGGAGAAGGTAAAGGCAGAGTGAAAAACAGCACTCCCAGCATCCCAACAGAGATGCAGAAGACTGATTTAAACAAAAAATATTGAGGAAACAAAGCTAATAAATGAGCAAATGTCATGGTCAGAAAGTCCCTGTGTAAAAAGCACAGTTATGAATGCAGGAAATTATATGTGTCTGGGATGGGACAAACCCCATCACTTTGGCAATACAGAATTCAAAAGGAGTGATGTCCAAGGGAGAGTTCACGGCTCCACCAAAGTTCTCAGACCTAAACCTCTTTCATATGTTGCCTTTGCAACACTAGAAAGATGCTAGTGTGGGAGATCTCCTCGTCATTCCAGTTGCAGCCTCTCCACAGGTGCCATCCACAAGGATGTGTCACAAGGCAGATGATGAAGTGGGAAATGGCAGCGTTTCAGTGCTGGCTTTGCTCAGTCAAAGGGTACGTTCGCCTGATGACTGTGAGTCAAAGGAAACAAGCGTGGCAACAGGACAAGAAAGATGACAAAACGTAACACTCACCACTAGTACTCCATTAGTAATGATGGTTTCAGGAGGCCCTGGACTAGGAAACAGAAAGAAAAATACATTTTTAATAACTCAGCATAATTACAGTATAATTCGTGAGCCACACCCTTCTCCTGATTTTCCTCTTTCTTATTTTTAGCTGTGCAGTGGATTTAAAAGAAAAGTCCCAGGAGACTCACAATACAAGTTTCCTCGCTCTGCTCTGTCAAGGTACAATTGCCATCCGACCGGCTCATCCAGTCCTGTAGCTCAGCAAAAAAAACAGGTATTGTGGGGCCAAACCATGTAGTGATTTTACGCTGAACCCTGAGCTGAGGCAGCAGATGGTTTCACAGAATCCAGTGGTTTTAAAATTGCAGTTTGTCAGAGGACAGGACAGAAAGGGCTCTAGATCAGAAATCCAGTACGTTATTCTATGTTGTGCTTTGAAGGGAGGCTAACCCCCCTGCTGATCTTAAAGACGAATGCGTAACAAGACACCAGTCCCAGTATTCTTGTCTCAAATAGTACTCATTACACTAGGCAAAGAAAAGGTTTTAGGGTGTTCTCCCTGTCTGCCTAAAGTTCATGGGAGTTCATCCTGGCACGTGCCAATTCGTCACACAGGTCATAGCACAGATTCCTTGGGAAACCGTGTTCATCATCAGCATCATCAAGGAATGATGAACTCTGAACAATTAGACCAGATTATTTCAAGCTTCTGAATTGCTGCTGCTTTATACTGCACATTATGTTGCATTTCATGTTTACTCACATATTATCCAATGCAAATCCCACCTCCAGCTCCTCTTGTCTCTGAAAAATAAAGAACAGAAAACGTTTTTTGCACTAGTCTACTGGCAGTTCTCATAACGCAAGTTCTCACACTTGCAATATATGTGTGCACGCACTATTTGTGACTGGCAGAGCACTCAAAATAGAGGCACCCACCACCTCACATCTGTGTGTCTGGAGCCTCAAGACCCTTTATTGATAGGAAGCTTCTGGATGGCTGCGATAGCAGTTTTTCACAAATAAAATAGTTGGCTTGCCTGCTTCTGCTGGGACACAAGGGACAGACCCAGGTGGAGATGTTGTCTCATACCGAGTCTGCCAGCAAAGAGAAAGAGGGTCTGCTGTGGGAGGAGCCAAAATCTGCTGGTGTAAGGAGGGGAAACGGTGACATGCAAAGCAGCTGTGGAAGAGGACAACTGCTTTGTTTGGCAACATGTCGAAGGCTTTGGGGCAGAGGTAAATCTAACATTAAGGCCTGGTTTGTGGAGTGGTGAACAAGAGTATGATTCCTAGGTGGAAGAAAGCAAAGCAGAGAGGAAAACAAAGATGGGGACAGAAGGAATGATGATGACCAGAGAAGTGAGATCATGCTGTAGGTTACTCAGTTGCTCAAATTACCTATGACACTAAAGACACCAAAAAGTTATTAATATAGGACAAAAAAAAAAAAATACAAAGGCCTAAAGAGTATGAGCTGTGCAAATGCAGTAATGAAAGGCTCGGATATGGCACCTGTAACCACCTGGACAGTAATGGGCTGGGTTACAGCTAGCTGAATATTTCTATTTTGCCAAGGGCAGGTGGAAGTTCACACAATGCTCCTCTGGTATTTCACAGAGAAATAAATCATCAATAAGGCATTTAAAGACAATGAACTGCAGAATGGAGTTTGAGTGTGTGTAGATAAGGTAATTAATCAACTGAATGGTGCATGACAGATGCACAAGAGACTAGGAGGCAACAGGAAAAGGAGAGGAATGGACAGAACATACTGGGAGGTGGGATGTGAGACTTTCAGAGCCTCCTTGGACATTCGAAATAGGAATATTTCTTGTTGCCAAACTAAGTGGCATGACTTAGCCACCTTACTTAAACACTCATGCCACAGTTCATAATTAGCAACTAGTCTGGTTCGACACTTGGTTCCGATCACAGAGTTATTACTTCTTAATTACTAGGTTAAGTAACAAGTTATGACGTAAAGCATCATATACTGGCGTGGACACAATCCTTGATGGGGGCAGACTCAGCAAAGTGACAATTTTGCAAAGACACCTGAATTTTGTGAGTCAATACGGCCAACATCAAACCCTTCACTGTGTCTACAGATTCAGGTGTGAAAAGGCTTTCCCACATCAGAGTGAAAAGCAACCCTCTTTTATGTGGCTGGGCAGTCCATACACAAGAAGAAAAAAAGAAAGATTTTGCAAGTAACATTTTAGACAGCAAAGCAGAAAAACACATTCTTGCTAACCTATACCTTTTCTTCTTTCAGATCTCACCTGTGAATCGCACTTGAAGTGCATGAAGACCTGTTCTCCCAGGGAAAGTTTGGCTATATCGAAGTACACTGTGAAGAGGTGGTCATCTTGAGTAACCATGTCCTTATCATAGAGTGTGAGCTCCAGCACATTCTGGGAAGGGAAAGGAAGGACTTTAGAAATGTGTCCAGTTTCATTTAAAGCGGGAGATCCGGGGACAGCTGTTTTAGTCAGCTGTTGTGCGGTGTGAGAGAAGGTAAAGAAAAAGAGCAGACGGGGAAGGAGCTGAAGGGGAAATCAAGTCCATGTAGGCATCTGTCTACGAGGAGGAATGAGAGGAAATCACAGACATCTCAAAGGTCGTATTCCACCCATGGTTGAGAGAGGTACTTGTCTTTCATGGCATGGAAAATCAGCATAAGGATATGTGTTATTCTCACATCTTTCTGCATCTTTCCTTGCCTCTTGAGAAAATTACTTCTGTACCCTTTACAAAAAGATAAAACCTGGCAGTTGCTCCCTAGGTCAGGGTTAACAGGGAAGTCTCAGCTCAGTACCTTGACCTGACTCTGGATCCTGAAGTAGAAGGTTTCATTCCAGACTGGATCTTTGCAATTCTTGACAGTTTTAGTCTGAAATTTGTCAGTTGAAGCAGTTGGCAACCACAGGCTCACATAGCAATCAGTCTGGCTTACTGTATGTTAAAAAACACAAAGACATCTGAAATGAGGATTTGCTCTGGAAGAAAGAACGAATTAAACAACATGAAGCTTTGCTTTTAAAGAGGGACACTACAATACACGATGGCATATTGGACCAACATAAACTTTGCAATTTAGGTAACAGGAATAGAGAAAAAGAAGAGGGACATGATTCTGCTCTGAATAAATGTGATTAGAGATATAATAAATGCATTAAAAACAAAGGGGTTTATTCTCCTTCTATGTCATCAAGCAATCAGTTTAGCCCAGTCTAAAACAACTGGGGACAACCACAGAATCCTATATCTGCAAGGATTAAGGAAACAAAGTGATAGCTTCTGTTTTAGCCAGACAGAACACTAAAAAAAAAGCCCAAGACATAGAAAAAAAAATGCTTCTTGATTTCTGTGTAAGTAAAGCTATAATCTTCTATTATATTTCAGTTGCAGGCCATCAGAAGTGAACCTACAAAATATAACAACACCTAACAGTATTCTATCTGCGAAAGCTGGTACACAGGGAATCAAGATATGGTAATTAGGATTACTTAGTCTTGAGAAAGCTTTGAGTACAAGCTAAATTTGAGACAAGCCTACTTCATTTTCAGTATTTGCTGCGTTACCCCAACCAGGTTGTGTCTTTTATTACATAAATATACTCCAGAGGAAAACACAGGAGATCTTTCCATATTCCTTGTTTTCAACAGACTGCAAAGCTTTCCCTGCCCTCTTTTGGAATGTAGAGAAATACAAGCTATGACCTTATAGAGTTACCTCTGCACAGAACAGGACTAAGGCAAAGATGAACAAAACAATATGTTTGTTGCTTCAACAAGCATGTCAGTAAGAGGACTTTCTCCATCCATGGAAGAAATCTAGAATGCATTTTTTCTTGCAGCGGGACTAGCTAGTACCCTATGAAGGTTAAGGGGACAGTGCAGAGCTCTACAGATACTTACAGACATCTGCCTGGTGGATATTTCTTGCTCTTATGACTCTTACAGTCAGTAAGTAACACAGAGATGATTCTATCTGCAGGGAAAAAAAAGTGCAAAAGACAGGAATGGATGCTAAAGGCAGATAGCATATTTAGAAGACAGAAATGATTGAGAGATATACCCAAATCATGAACAACTTAGTTGAATTTTTCTATGTGACTATGAAATGTATAATACATTTATTTTACTACTAATATCTAAATCAAGTACTAGTCTGAAAGACTTACCTACTTCTATAGGATAATAGGTGGATTTGTATTACAGAGAATTTATTTGCTTTCTAACTAAAATCTAGCTGTACAAAGTGGAAAGATTCAGACTCAGCTTGGGAGAAAATTTACTTGTTAAATTTCCAAGGTAGAATATGAAAAGCTGCCTTAGGCTTTTTGCAAGTGAAAAATTATCATCGTGGGAATCACCTCCTGTGGAGTCATTACACATATTCAGTCCCTTGGGCTACAAGATATGATTTTCTCATATTCTTGCTCTTTTAAACGTACAGTAGTTCTCAGAGTTAAATGCTAGCTTCTGATCCCCATGCTGCTTTTAATGTCAGAGATCGCTACTTTGCACTTCCACCATGCTACTCAGTATACACGTTTTTCATTTACAGGGACATAACTGCCCCTCTTGAGCAGAGCTCACCTCCGACTTTTTCTTGTGAGAAGTTTTTCTCTAGTTTTTAACCATGTAAACTCTTCATGTCTGAAGTTTCTTTGCACTGTTTTGCACAAGAAGTGCAAACACAGGGTTTTATGCCTCATGAGAAACTCCAGTTTGTCCCCTTTGGCTCCCCTTTTTCATATTAGCCCATGGCTCCAACATTAAGGCCTCATGCTTGACTTCTTTGCCTCTCAAATTTGTTGTTCTGGTCTCATATTGGAGCCCAAACACGAGTCCATATCCTTTCTCCTTTTCCCATAAAACAAATTAATACCATTAATCTCCATTTCCACCTAACCTTTTATTTCTACTGCCACAGAAAGGGGAAAAAGACACAATATGTTGGAACCTAACTCAGCAGGAAAATTTTGCTCCGAAAGTTCTAAAATACGAAAGGCATTTACTGCAACTACAGGGCCATGGACAGGTAGTGACACCACTTGTAGTGGACAGTCACTCCACCTATACTGCAAAATGACTATAAAGAGATCATTGCCAGTCCTGCATTGGCATTAGCATGACACTGACCTCATTAGTCCCACTGAGAAGGATGCATGACACAGGTACTGAGGGAAAGGAGAACAGGACCTTTGCTCTAGTTGGCCTGTCTGGGCAAAACAATTTGGCATGCACCATGTTAATAATGTATCATGCTTACCATCTGTAAAAAGTGAAGTGCACCAGTATTCACAGGCTCAATGGAATATATATGTCCATGTGATGTCTCTTTTAATGTTTAACCTGAGTGTATTAATGCATGGAGCCAAGGGTAATGACTATATGTTGTTGAGATTGGTGGCAGTTAGCAAGTAGGCTAATGAAGAAACAGGTAAAATTAGCCTCCAGGTAACCAAAGCACCCTGTTCTAGGAAAAGGCACCAATGACATTCGTGATGCTCAGCTGCATGGCAGATGACTGGGTGTGCAAATCAAGGATGTCAAACCACTGCTAAGAGTCCAAAGAGCAGCTGTGGATAAGTCATCAAAGGCACTTGTATTCTTGTCCAAAACCTAGCTTCTAAGGCACAGACATGAGGTAGGTACAGGCAGAAAGTCTGCAGTAATTACAGAGCCACTAACTGATGCTACCAGTGTCTGGCTTTGGAGAAGGCTCCTGCTGGAAGGGCTCAACTCAGTGTCAGGGATTGGGTCCTCTGGAGCCATCTTTGTGGTTTGTGGTGATCCCAAAGCAGTGCAAGGGAGGGATTGCAGATTGAACAAAGCAGTCAGGCATGTGCATGTGCCCTGTCATAACCGGAGATCCTTGGCTTAGACATCACAGAGGTATAAATAACAAATGGCCAAAATACTCTCAGTGCTATGAGTTTTGCCAAAATAATTTGAGAGGTTTTGTTTTGAACCTGCCATGATCCCTGCAGTGTAGAGAGTTGCATTTTGGGGTGTATTGTCTCATCTTTGGGTTTTCCTTTCAGATAATCAACAGAAAGGGCTGGCTATTCCTCAAACTGCAAGCACAACACTGGTTGCTCAGCTACTTAACTCTGCTCGAAACGGAACAAGGGAGGGTTTCTAATTACTACTAAATGGCCTCAAACTAGAGAGAATAAGGATGAAAAATCTTCTTCAGCACATCTGATCCTCTGATTTCCTAGAGGAAAGATTTCGTGTAACATGTCTGAAGTCTTCTGGAAAACTGCAGGTTTTTTTGTAGAGGCCAGAAGAAGGATTAATCCAGGAAATCAAGTGTTGAAAATGCACTTCAAGATTGTGCCATACTCCTTGTGGGAGTGAGTGGCACTGTCTCACAGCTATTACTACTTACACTGGCAGTAAATGTGCCCTTGTGCTTTAACAAGACATATGTAGCAGAAAGCCTATTCACATCCATCTTTTTAAAGATATTAGCCTTGTTAAAACAGGGTTCATTTCCCGTGTGCCAAGGGTAGAAAACCACGCTGGGACTTTAACATGAAGCAAGACTGCATGAGTGAAGTGATCAAAACGATAAGCAGGATGGTGTTTGACGGAGGGAGCAGGATAAGTTATGGTAGCTAATTAGACTGTTTGGCAGATACTGAACCCTATCTGCTCTCACCCAGGCTCCACCCAGCAGGAAAGTCTCTTTTACAGTTTTCTTTTGAAATTCTCCTTTGCGATACCTTTGTTACAGGAGTCGGCTGTTCCCCGTCAGGATTCGGCGGCATAATTCCTTCTCCTAGCTGGGTGGCTTGAGTGATCAGCTCCTGCGACAAGAAGGGCCAACGTTACCCCTGGAAAAACCATCCTGTCTCTCAAAAGCAATCCACATTGGGAATCAAGAACGGCAGAGCAGCGGCGAAGGGGAGCCCACGGTCAGCAGTGGCCATAGAGCCTGGGCAGGTGCAGGCGTTTCCTGCTGGCGCTGCCGGCACCATGCTCGCCCCGGTACGCCGAGCAGAGGTGTAGCAACCAGGTAAGGTCCACCCTTCGCATGACACACGGGGAGGGAAGCAGCTCTGGGCCCGGCTGTTAAAGGAACAGCAAACCTTTCTCCCATAAACACACCCTGTTGTTAATCTTTCGCCTTGAAGCACATCTCCGTACCATTTAATACTTATTCTAAGGTTGCATACATCACGTTTCTAAAATGAAGAAACTCCCCAAATATACAGAATGCTTCCTTTGTAAACAAACTCTTACTCCCCAAGTAGTTTTCACTTCCTTCCTACAGTTTGCTATCATTTTTTTAATATCCTTGATGAGTTCTTGAAGCACTGTCTTTCTTCATCCTGCTCAAAGTCATTTATAGTCAACGGTAGGTCAAGAATGTAGTACCATCTTTGCACTATGTGCAGCATTACCAGCTGAGATCCCAGATGCCTCGCTTTGCTCTGCACCCTTCTTACCTGAGACAAAATGCCATCTTGCTCCATTGTGGTCACCGTCACACACACGTCCCCTGTTATCTGTGGTAATGCAATTTCACATCTCCCAGCTTCCATAGACACCAATAGTTTAAATGTCTCATATGCAGGCAAGCAACTATTTTATAAACTGACTCAGGGCCCCACCTCTGCATGATTTCTTAAACCCAGTTATTCCCCTCCCATTTTCTTATACTAGGAAACTGAATCCTGTGGTCGAATAAGTAGGGAAAAAATACTTTTGCCTGCACAGTAGGTGGAAATATGCTGTTTGAGTCACTTTGCCCAATACTGGCCAATGGCAGGTTTATGACTAATAGTGAGAGAAGGATGCCCTTTTTTCTAAATGCTGAACTTTCCACTTAGCAAGACATCAAAGCCTACAGAAATATATACTCTGCAATAAGATGCAGCAACAATACATTAATTGGATTTAGGTTATCTGCAACAGTCAGCAGATAGGATGAAACGGCTAACAGAAAAAAAAAAAAGAGAGAGACAACACTATTGCTCTCAGACTAAACTGATTCTTGCAAAAGCCAGTTTAAAGGTTTCTGTGCCACATGTCCCTGCAATCCCAGGTCTAGGTGTGCAGAGCAGACCCACTCATATGGTGGTTTGTACCTACTCAGCCTTGGTCCACCAGGGCTAAGCCTCTCCTCAAGTCATTGTGTTCTTCTCTCCTTCTTTCTTATGGTTTGCTATTAGTATTTTTGTTTAGATGAAGAGTCCTGAAGCAATGACATTCCTCAGCTTAGCTCCACCTCCTGTGAATACTTCTGCACCACTTTCCAGCTCAGACTGACTCTGGCTGTAATCTAGCTGCCTTTAAGCACGCGTGTCTGACCCAATGAACTCTGCCAGCCAGAGGCAAAACTCAGCGCCGTCCTCAGCACACCTGCAAAGCCACCGTGGCAGCAGGGCATCTGTGCCTGCCTCTGTGAGCACCCAGCTGACCCCAATGCCGTTGAATCCGGCACAGCTCTCAACTCACTGGAACAGGATTTAAAAAGGCCATCAAAGACTGTTCTATCTTCAGCAGGTCAAAAGAGATCAAAATCACTGAGGGAAGGGAATCCATCAGCTTCTCTGCTCTCCCGATATATTGTCTGCGAGGAAGAAGTTACCCATTCCCTGAGCATTCTTGAGATTACTGATTAAATATTGGTACCAGCCAACATGGTTCCTCTTTTTGTATTCCCATGCAAAATAATATCAAGTCATCACGGTCAGCTTGTTAGAATAAATTTTTGCTATAGGCTATATTATTTCACAACCCTGTGAAGGGTGGTGTCTACATGCATGGCATGTTTTCTCCGTGTGCCAGCTGCAATTATGTAGCTTGATGAAATGCATTTTTCATTAGGTCACAGAAAACCCTCAGCAACATCAGCATCTTTCAGCCATAGTTAAAGGCAGTGCTTTATTACGACATCTCCTTGGAGTGCTAAGCTATAAACCAGACTGTCCACCAGGACTGGGGCTCTGAGACCATCACTCCCACAGTGCCCGTGGCCAAAAAGCTCTTGTTTTCATGAATAACATTTGCAATACACATCAGAGAGCCCTTGCAGGAAGAAGGGACCGTGACTCACTTTGTGCCCCTGCAATCCGTCTCTGACATTCCTCTATCCACGATGCTCGCAGCAAATATTTGATATGCTCTTATGCTCTTAGTAGAGATAACAAAAGTTTTGTTTTCCGGGAACAAGGAACATGCTTGTTACTGCAGCGTGTTACTGAAATGCCTGAATATGTGGAGCGAGGCAGATAATTTTCGTTTTGCAAACAAGCCTTTATTGTCTGGTATTGTATACATGAAATATTTGCATGGAAATAACATTTCTTCAGAGCTGGAGGTGGCATGAATTTATGGCCAAAAACTGTCCTTATTTTTTCACACTAGGGATTTCAGGTTCAAATGGAGGCAATTCCCAGGGTTATATGCAGAGCATGTAGCACCATATTTCTGATTATGACTAGTGAAACTATCATAGAACAAAAAAAGCCCAACAGAAGTGCATATTCCTCCAAAACCTAAAGAGTTTTAAATGGTAATATTTATGTTCTGATCTTTAGACCTACAACATTAGGCTACAGTTACACAAAAAAGTAAGGTTTGGTTTGACATCATAAATGACAAAAGTGTTGGCAAAAGTCATTGTGAACGAATTTGTAAAAATAATTTGTTATTGTTTCTTGCTAAAATGAAAATCCTCAGAGTATCATTTTGCACCAAGCCAAACATGTTATTTGACTGTAAATGAAACCTGTTATTTTCAGGTTAGGTTCCCTGGGCCGACGAGGTAGGCGCTCTATTAAAAAGAAGCTGTATTTCAAAACAAAGATGTTTTGTAAAATATTAACATGAAATGTTTCAACTTACCCAAGCATTTTCCCTTTTTTTTTTTTAGCTCCAGATTATGACATCTAGTTGATAGATATTTTTCACTGAATAGCGTCTTTGTTCAAAATTTTCCCAGTTGCCATTAGGATACAAGACTTAATAATAAAAATTTGACTTGCTCCTGGAATGCAAAGATTGTTATAGATTTATAATTTTTACAGCTCATCCTCAACACTTTCATCAGTTCAGAAAAGACACTTTCCCTAAAAGGGAAAATGGAGGAAGTTAAAAAATGCAAACCCACAACAAATGTTATTGATGGTTTTGTGCTAGATCCCATAGAGAGTCTCTTCGGATTGTTTTAAGTTGTTGCAGGCTACTAACTCACTCCTGCTTATCTGCACAATTTGAGCAGGTAGAACTAAACAAATAATCGTTTTTGTTGATGAGCATATGTCCTAAACTGTTTAAGTAAATGGCATTGAATAAAACAACAAAGTTTTCACTGTCTAGTGGAAGTACAATATTTTCATTTCAAGTACTTTTTCTTTTTAATTTGAGAAAGGAAGATCAATATGAGAAGTAACTCACCTGGGAAAAAAATCCCAGGGTGTTTTATTTTGAAAGCTTCAAAATAAAATTTTGACTTTTTTTATATACCGTCTCAGCACAAAATAATCCAGAGTGACAAAAATTCACAGGAAATTTTGATGTGCCCAAATTACACCTTTCACTGGAAAAAAAAATTTACATGAAAAACCTGACGCCACTTCCTCCTAAATTGCTCTGTCCCATCTATGTACAACTAATTCACAGCCCAAGAAAGCCCAGGAGGTGGATATGATTCATGGGCACATGCTTGTCCCTATGACATTTCCAACCTCTTCAGCTGCTCTTCAGGACACTTGCAAAACAGAGTTGACCCAGGGATCCAATGCCAGTTTCCAGTCGTGTCTCAGGTTTTCTTTATCTTCCAGGGTTGGATGCAACTGGTGTTCCACAAAGAAGAACTGTGGGGAGCAGAAGTTTATACCCCATCTGACGGCCTGTAGGTGTGTTGGCTGGGTTGTATTACTGTAGCGCTGTGGTGGTAAAAAATTATTTTCCTGTATGTCATACATTGTAAGTTAGGCTTAAAATAACACTATTTTTAAAATCTAACAAGGAGTTTAGGTAAAGAGTGTTCTACAGACAACCTTAATTTAGAGAACAAAGTATATTAAAAATTTCCCAGGCAATGTCTTTGCCTACAGAGGCCACTTCTTGGGAACAGAAAAAAAAAAAAACAACAAACCACTGAGCCACCTGAAGTAGTTTCTTTCTGTAGTGCAGAATGGCCAGTGTTCAAAAAGCTATGTCTCTTCTGTGTCCTAGAGCATGAAAAACTCTTCTGAGAAGATAGGCAGCAGTTGAACGGGTGATTAGCACATGTTTTGCCTTCTTTGCATTGCTGTCTGCAAGGCCTGCATAATCATCTGTGAGTTGTTCAGGATGTTGTATTCACTGAGGTTCAGGAGTCGACGGTAGTTCTCATCTGTATACCTGACTGAGAACATGCAGTACGGGGAAAAGCGACTGGTCAAATCAAGTTGTCCTCCCTCCATCTCTGAGCAACAGCGCTTGACACCTGGAGAGAAAGAGAAGTTTCTGCTGTGACATGGTGTTTATTTCAGTCAGCGACAAGGTGTCCACTGCAGCCCAAAGAGGGGGACTTTTCTCCGCAAGAAAATTCATAGGGTTTAACTGCATGAGCAATGCAGGTCATGCATTCCCACTCCTAGTCAAGAGAACGTGTGTGCTGAAGTGATGAGGGCAGAAAGGAGAATGGAGAGACAGCATTGTAATGGTCATCTACAGCTTATCATAAACATCTGTGTCATTAAAGCCATAGAACAAGCAAGCATAACAGCCTGAAAGGCCACTCCAATAGCCACTGCTGGTGCACTGCAGGCCTTATCATGAGCAACTGGGACCTCTATGAACCTTGGCTGAGGGAGGGGAGTTGCTAGTGATAGAATAGAATTTAAGTGAGAAAGGAGTAATAGAAACATATGGAAACTTAAAGTTCCTGCACCCAAATGCAGCCTCAGGGGGCCTGCCACCAGGATCCGTTTTCGCCTTTCTGTTTCTTGGGTTTCCCAAATTCCACAGAAGCGGAATTTTAGACTTTACCTTCTTGCTACCAAGGAGCAAAGCAAATGCATCCTAGTAACTGGCAGCAAATGAGAGAAATACAAAGCAGGTGGCCTGGTAGAAAAAAAAATGACAGGCCCTGAGCACAGCACAGTGAGCAAAATGACCCCTGGGCTGATGCTGTACCCAAAGGAGACGCATTGATCTTAACATTGCAGGAGTTCAGCCGTGAAGCCAGGTTCTTGCTCCCCCACCATTCAAACATGACACTCTACCTCCTCAAGTGTG